TCTACACTGGTGAAAGTGTAACTGGTAGACATTTCGTTTTTATTCCAAAACTTCATTTCATGAAATTATTTGAAGTTTAAAGACAACAAATCAATTTGCTGTTTAAGCAAACAAAGTCAGCTTCTCCCACTCTCTTTATTTCATCAGTCGGAATGACTGATTAGTTTAAAAAAAAAACAATGACAGATTAAATATGTAAATGTAAATTAATAGTTTTAACAAAAACATAAACATTATCAGGAAAGGTAGCTGTTTTTGCCCAAAACTTTGCATCGTATAGTTATTTAAAATAAAATGGACAAACAGATTTTTGTAGGTAGAGAACATATGTTTCTGCAGTACGTTTCTTATCTTCTGCACATGGGTGGATAAGCCTTGAGATTACAACAAACCAGGAACAACATTCAAGTTACATGTAAATTGTCATCGTAGAGCAAAATCACAAAAAATGACAAAAAGACAGAATAATGATGTCTATGTTGTCATAGACATCTTGAGCCTGATGCAAGTCATAATGATCCGAATTGATCAAATTTGAAATATTCTACATCATCTAGACGTAAATGATTTAGTCAAATAACACTGATACTGTTCAAGATGACTATTGCAATTATTTAATAAGGATACTGCCTGACGCTTCGCTTTTCAATTTACACATGTGTTTATTTATGTCTTCATTGAGTAGTTGTGGCAAAATATGTTTTTTTTTTTTAAACAAAACAGTACATGGATTAATAGAAATACACTGAAATAGAAAAATCTAATTCTGGGGCAATTCTTATTTAAAAGTTGAACTCTTACTAAAAAGAACTGAGTAAACAGGGACACTTATTTAATGTAAGTTTGATATTCCCCTATATTAATTTTATTGGAGTATGCCTTTGACAAGTATCAGCATTTTTGCATTTTTAAAGCAATGTTTATCGGGGGAGTTTTTTAAAAGATAATAGTTAAACCTACATTTCTGTCACTATTTTTACTTTTTTCTAGAAGCTATTTTGTTCACCATTCTTTCTTGTGCACCACTCCTTTTCCTTCCGTGACTCTGCTGTGCCACAGAGGGAAAAAAAATGTCGGTTCCTTTTAGAGTGGTGTCTTAAAATAGATTCCCAGTTGTGACTTTATTTACCGAAACTGTTGCTAAAACTATAAAAACTTACATAGAAACCATGACATCATCGTCTTGGACTTCTCCAAAATCTTTATAATCGTGGTTTAAAATAGTTTGAAGAAAGGAAATAGAGAAAAACCCCTGTCATACCTTTCTGACTATAAGCAAATAGATTTTTTTTTAGGAATTTTGGCGCAAAATCGGAGAGTTTGTCTCCTTTTATTTTGAAATAGTTTTCCTCCGAACACGTCTCGAGCAACTTCCGGGTGTCATGCGGAACTCTCCCGTTGCCGGGTAACTGTAGGAATTAAAGTGTTCTCTCTTCTGACTTTTTTTTTTTTTTTTTTTTTTGTTACCTCTTGGGCAACTCGTGTTTTATTTAATTTATTTATTTATTTTGAAGTCGCCTGTAGAAAGGATGACTCAGAGTGGTTTTCATGGGTGAGTACGGTGTAAATTTAAAAAAACACAGCTCAAAATGGTATTTATTTTAGTTAACAAAGGTCAACTTTCAAATTTAAATCAAGCCCAATCCAAAACTGTTTGCAAGAAACTTGTAGCTTTTATTTTGTCCTAACATTTAGGAAAGAATGATAGATAGATAGATAGATAGATAGATAGATAGATAGATAGATAGATAGATAGATAGATAGATAGATAGATAGATAGATAGATAGATAGATACAAACATCCAAAAATGAGAAGTTATTTTTGCATTAATGTAGGTTTTTTTTGTTTTCATGTTTAAAATTATTTTCTATACATCAACCATTGCATATTACTACCCATTTGGCCAAATGGGACCAAATGCTATCACATTTAATCAGACCAGTCTGAAAGGCCTTGTAGTTAACCTTGGCTTATCCAGCTCCAGATATTAGACGGTTACGCAAGAAGCGCGTTAATCTCAAACAAACTCACTGGACGGCTGGGATTCACTATTTAGTAAAAGCCACTTCAACGCTTGAGAGCCTTATGTACAAAGAAATATGAGAAACGCCAGATGAAGTGAAAGCAGGTCTATTTTTTTTTTTCATTTTCAACTTTTTAATTGGCATCTGACCTCACATTTCTTCCCCAGTTTTCCATTCCCCCACTCACAGACTGATAGAGGGTTTCATGCAGGATCCCTAACATTTTGTAAAGATAGCCTCCTTTATCTGATTGTTTTGCTTATTTCATTAGAAAGTATCGTAGCAGGTTTTGAAGCAACGCAGAGTAAACAATATGAGCTACTGTATGTTTATTTCCTCCAACAAAGAATCAGCTTGAGTAAAATGCACTGCTCCTGTTTGCCTAGCCACCACTAGTTTCCAGAAACTGGAGGACGAGTCCAGCCCACGGGACAAAGCAGCAACAATAATACAGCGGACCTGGAGAAGATATGTGGTACGTTCTGCGGTCTTAGTATATTTGTGACAAGTTTTCATACTTGTTTAGCTTTTTCACATTTTGTTGCTTTACAGTCAAAAATCCTCATGTTTATTGGGATTTTTTGTGGTTGCTCAACACAAGGTTTGACTGAATTCTTTTTTCTTTTTTTTTTTTTTTTGCCCCCATAAGTTTTGCTTTGCAAAAGAGTTTGAGCTTGGAATGTTTTGTAATGAATGTTTTTTTTTTTTTTTTTTTTTTTTTTTTTTTTTTTTTTTTTTTTACATCAGTCACATTCTTGAATATTGTTTATGTTCATAGAAATCTTAAGTTGTATATGAGATATAATATTTGTGAAACACATTCATAAAAAAAGAATATGACTAACTTCATTTGCGCAAAAAAAAAAAAAAATAAATAAAAATATCAAAATTAAAACAAAACCCGCAGCTTGATGCTAATAAGTCCATGCGTCAGTCTGAAGATGGTGTGTTAAACTTGTTTTCTTATTTATTTTTTTTTTTTTAGGGGAATCAGTGTAAAGGCGGTCTAAACTAACTGCATGCAACATTTTTTTTCTACAAAAAACTGTTGAAAAACACATCAGTCGTTTTCCTTTCCACTTCATAATATTGTACTACTTTGTGTTAGTCTATAAAATCCCAGTAAAATACAACAAAGTGGTTGTTGGTTGTAATATGAAAACAATCCCGACGCTGTCAACAACGCAGTGCAAAGAAGTCTTCAGGCATGTCCAGAAGATGATCAGCCAATGCTATCAGCAGGATCCCAGGTCACTTCTCCGAACCGTCAATCCTCGAGAGGTAGCAGAGCGATAGATATCGTCGAAGCAAAAAAAAATATATATATATATATATCTCAGTCGAACGCAAAACTCTTCAAATCCGACTGTGTTTCACAGGCAGAGCTGCTCGATCCTGCGGCAGGCGTATTCATCCGATTTCGACTAGGAGGGGTAAGCTAGTGGAAAAGTTGTAAATAAAACACCACAAATTCGCAAAAAAAGATCATGGAAAAAGATTGTACGAACAAACCTACTCATTTTAAGCTTTTACTTTTCATTCAGGTGAATTTTCCTCCCCAGGTCTACTACAAGATCTTCACCTACCGGCCCATCGTGGATATATGCGCAAGCAGCCCGAAGGACTACAATCACCTCTTCCGCATGAGGTATTTGACTGAGAAGAGGGATCCGACTCTAAACTCGACGGACCGAACGGGTTGGTATCGGCGTGTGGAGAACAACAACTGGAGGCTGTTCTGTTGCAAAGTAAGAGGGAAAAAACATATATATATTTGGATATATTTTCTGGTGATCAGAGGGAGCTCGTCTTTCAGCTTCCGCACGCAGATAACAATGCAAGTGCTTACATGTCTCGCTTCTCCAACAGCTCCTTACCAAGGAAGAACCCATAGACAATTTTGTCGTCAAGAAAATAGACTTTAATCCGTCGAAGATGCAGCGGAAAGAGGATGTGAGGAGATGGAGGAAAAGGAGGAAGATTGAGTGGCTGAGGCGGATGTGAGTTGTAGCGAGACGCAGTTTAACAGTTTTAACTAGTTTTCACAAATATCTAAGTAGAGCAAACAACAAAAAGCATATGTATTTGTAAAGAAGTTGCATACAGCAGTTTTGATAAAACATACAAATAACCGTAAAACTTTCAACTCTTAATTGCATTTGGTGCTTTCCGTTCATGTTTTGTGAGATCTTTCCTTCTTACTGAATAAACAACTCAGTTCAACACGTTCCATGTACAGACATCTGCACTTCAACTATGGGCTAATTATAGGCTTTCTAAGTTTGCCCAGCAGATGGCAGTGACATCAACATTAACGGCATTAAAATTCATTGCAAGGACAATTCGGTCATAGCTGAAGGATTTTCCCAAAACATATTGCATCTGCATCTACAAAATATTTCTTTAATCAATGCTTTTTAAAAAAAAAAAAATCTCCAGGTATTCAGTCCACACTTTTACACATAAACAAATTCCTTAAATATCTCCATTTTAGAGACTTTTTTTTTTAAAGTTCTGTCTATGGTCTACAAGGTAAAAAAAAAAAAACAACAGAAAAGCATCTCAGTTGTCTAAAATCTAATAGAGGTGCATTTGATTATTTTTTATCTTTCTGCTACATAAAGGTACCAGGAGGGCCGAGAGGAGACTCTGGAGGAGCAGTCCGATCAGTCCGACCTGTTGACAGTGGCGAGGAAATCAGCGAAGGACATGATGAGCTCAATCGAAGACAAAGGAGAAGATGAAATATTGGACTGGGAGCTGGATGAACTGTTGGCCTGGACAAGCAGCCTCAACTTTGAGGAGTGAGCTCTTCAAACATTTCTTGTCAATGTGCATTTTTACATTGTCCTGTAAAACTAAGGGTGCTTCCACACCATGGACCAACACACTTGGTTCGACTGGACAGATGGAAAACTTCCTATCTTCATTCCTTTCTTTTCACACTCATCAGTCCCTCCAGGATTTTGCAGTTGTCTTCATAATTAGCATACATTTCAAGCACCACTGATTTTTGCCTCAACTACATGTGCTCGATGTAGTTGAAGCTAATTTACAAAAGTTTTCAGATCACATATTTGTTTGTAAACAAATACGTGATCCCTTTTGTTAATTTCTCTCTTGGGTTCTCTAATTTCATGTCTCACCTGATGAAATGACAATGACTATCCTATCTATCTCTGGTTTGGAAGCTCTCTTATGTTAAGTTTTGCTTTGATATTTTTGCTTTTGCAGGTACATGGAAGAGTGGCAACAACTGGCCTGCAGTCACACGTCCGAGATAAGCAAAGGTTAACAAATTTCTTTTTACGTTTACCTTTTCATCACAATGCTTTTGTTATCAAAATGTTGTTTTTTTGTTGTTTTTTGTTTTAGTCTTCATGGATTAAATATGCTTTCAAGAAAATAATTTGTAATATTTTACCTTAATGTTCTCTTTCCCCTCTCCCCCAAACAGATCGTGCAATATTAACGCCAGTGGTGGGTCTGAGTCACTTGGGACCTCCAGTAACTTAGGTCAAGCAGAATAAAATCAAGAATGGTAACTGGACTATGTCTCCAAAAGCTTTATTGGGCATTTACTACATTACATTGCTGCAATTTGTGTGATCAAGTTGTTTTTAATTTACCACACTCTGTGAGTTTATGGTGTAATTAAGATTATTTTTTCATCCAATTTGAAGTATATGCAGAATCTGAATACAGAAGAGGTAAGAAAAAGTAAAAACTCATCTACTCTCTTCTGTTTCTTTAGATAGATTGATTCACAAACAGAAATACAATGTTCTCTTTGTTTAGTTCTGACCTTTGGGTTTTTGAAAAAATCTCTGATCCTCTCAAATTATGAATGGTTTCACTTTTAAGAAATCTTTTTTGCAAATATACTGGTATGTATTTTAAACTTATCTTACAGAATATAATAGCCAACCAAGAAGTAAAATTTCATTAATTTTAACTTAAAGAACAATGGTTTTGTTGGACCTCTGTAGTGCTTTCTGCTGTGATTTGGAAAATAAAATCAATTTGTATGCTTTACAGGCATTCCCCTAAACTTCTACTCAAAGGGAAGGGTCAGTGAATTGTATAACACCAACATTTTACTCTCCCGTGGGGACTCGAGAATGACCTGTATATAAAGTTATTTTTTTAAGTTACAATTGATAATATCTGTGCATGACATTTTAAAGTCATATTTATAGGAAAAAAGGTGCAAAAATATACTGATATGGAGAGGGCATAATGTATATCTGTTATTTTGTCACCTCTCATGTCTTGGATAATAAAAATGATGAGAAGTTCTAAAATGTTTAAAATATCTTGTAATATGTTCTCTATAAACAAAAACAATGAAAAAGTTCAAGCGAAGAACAAAAGAGGGGGCACCCGGATTTGAACCGGGGACCTCTTGATCTGCAGTCAAATGCTCTACCACTGAGCTATACCCCCGTTGTATATGGAGGTGCAGTCTGTCGGTATTGGCCATATGTCAGTTGTGTGTTGAAGTGGTAGTGTGGTATGAGATACATATGTAGGTAAATAAAAATGGAATTTCATTCAGACAGGCTGTGATGGCATCACTACAAAATCTCGTGAAAATATTTCATGCATTACGGAGCAGTTTGTAGGGGCGGAGTTTCGACCGGATGTTTCGTCTATACCACTCGACGCAAGCGGATATACGAGCATATGAAAAGGAAAGCGTAAGGAAAGAAGTCACAATGGTATTGTAGCATGTTTATATCACTTTTTAAATTTTCTGTAGGCGACAGATTCAGGACCATTGTGTTATTTTTATTTACATTTATACAATGTATTATCATGTCCTATATAGCGTTTCGTCTGGTCATGTTGTGGAACTGATTCGTGAATTTGATTAGTCACTCGAGCTAATGCTAAATTAGCGCTAATGCTAACAACGATGTTTTCCTGGACTTTCTCATATAAAGTCAGCTCTGAATGTTTGCATGCATTTTGTGTTGGTTTATTGTGAGCAGATATGAAGATTGGATGTGTTTTTTTTATTATTTGTGCGTCACAGAACAGCCGCGGACTCCGTTCTCAGCTTAAAGACAGCGTACCTGTGGCAGGACTGTGTCCACAGGGAGCTTATGGGGTACAGGACTCCCTGCGTAGCGGGTAAGAAACTATGGGATATATATTTACATAATTGAAATTATGATTTCAATTAATAATGTGCTAATTGTTTGTGGGGGTTTATTTGCTTTTGCCTTTCTCTCCAAAAGCTTCACTAGTGTAAAGAATGAGCTTCTTCCAAGCCACCCACTGGAGCTGTCAGAAAAGAATGTAAGTTATCTAATTTGTGTCCTTTAAATTTCATCATCATGGCTCAAGCTTTAAAAGATACATTGGATAAGACTCCTTCATTGGCAACCCAACAAATGCTTGTACATATGTGGCAAATATATTTTTGAGTCAGCATTTAAATGACTGGAAAGGATGGGGGAAATACATTTACAGTGACGCACACAAACAACCTAGAAACCTTTTATTACAACGCTCTCTACAGTACGAGACATTTTTAATGTGTTATTTTTATGTTTTTGTTCCAATTTTTAAATTAATTTTGCTTAGAAATTTAAGTTTGAGAAGTCTGAATTAGGAATAACTAATAACATGGAAAAGCTGCAGGTTTCTGACCAATCCTGAACCATAAATCAGTTAGTTTTTTTCATTTTTTAATTATTCTATCTTAATACCACAAAATACAACTGGTATGCTACCATTAGCACTTTGACTACAGTCTGAGAACCATCAGTATTCAAATTCGAAATATTTCACTTATTCCAAATGAAACATAAATGTCTTCCTGGCTCATTTCCTCCCAGCATCCTCAAAGAGTTACTGTGGATGGTCACACTGTGGGCAGGAATGATATCCAGTAGCAGACCGTCTTGCAGTGAATCTGAAGAGGCCTCTGACTGACGACTGTTGCATTATAACAGTTTCATGACTGTCGTGACATTTTAGCAGTTCGGTTATCTTCAGAGATGATATTCCGCTTTGTCCTGGATGACCAGCAGATGTTAGCAAATGCTGCTAATCCACCTCATTTGCTTTTGCTGCTCCTCTTTAAAACCTCCGTCTGGCTACGTGTGCCTGCAGGCTGCTTACCGCGATGTCTCTCTGTGCTTTGCAGTTCCAGCTTAACCAGGACAAGATGAATTTCTCTACACTCAGAAACATCCAGGGTCTTCACGCTCCACTCAAATTGCAGATGGAGTACAGAGCAGCCAGACAGGTAAGGGTACTCCACCCCATTGATGGCCCCTTCCCTTTAACCTCCCTGTTTTTATATCTGTTTTTTGTTTAAGTCTCCTCTATTGGTACTGATGAAAGGTGCTTCTGTGTTCCAGATCCAGCGTCTGGCCTTCTTACCCAGCTCCAACCTGGCTCTGGACACCCTGCGAGGAAGCGATGAGTGCATCGGCTTCGAGGACATCCTCTGCGGTTAGTGTCTCTTTCCTCTGTGAAGACTTCACTTAAAAAAAATCTAACTGAAATAAATCTTAAGTAGAATAAACAATAAAATCCATGGCATGTGTCCTATGTTGGTTGTTTAGAGGTTCAGAGTCGGTTGTGCTGATTGAACGCTGTTCAGTTTTTTTTAAGTCTCTTGTCTGTCTGTCTGCAGATCCAGGCCAGAGTGAAGTGATGGGCGAGCCTCACATGATGGTCGAATACAAACTGGGATTGCTGTGAAAGCTGCTGGATGTAGAAAACACACAACATGTTTAGGTTACTTTCTCCGAAATATATTTGATTGTCCATTCCAGGTCGGAAGTTATCAGCTGGGCTGCTGCAGAGTTGTTTTCAGACACGTGTTAGGCAGAAGGTGGGCCAGATGTAAATTAAACAGAGAGAGTTATAGCAGTCACTCAAACCGGTTTTCATGGCTCCTTTTTTGTTGTGTTTGAATCTGGTTAATATTTCTAATAAATTACATTCTTCTTCATGGTGTGGTTTCATTTCTCCAACTATAAAACTCCCGAAGCAGAACTTTGGCTCCTGTTACGTATCTACAGTTCTACGTAGTCATTAAAATTAAACTAATCAAGGTGAACTATTGTCTCTACAGAACTTTATCATCCAATCATAAACATTGAAAAAAAAGTGGTAACATCTTTGCACAGCTATTAGTAGCAATATTGTGTTTTATATAATATCTAGTTACTACATAAGTAAGAGGAAGCACAAGGATACAGACTTATTTTAAATGTAGTGCTAGCTTTTGCCTTCAGAAATCCTCTAATTAGTAAATGTAAATTTAAGAAAGCCCCGAGGTGTTTATTTCAAGAAGACAACAAACATTTAAGGTGCTGATTAAACCAAAATAAAACTTTCTGACCTACATGCAATGCGATGGGAGAAGGAGAAAGAGACGTTCCAAGTTGATGAAGCTAATTACAAGAAACGCGAGCAAAAAAACAAATTAAGACTTGAGTTAATGTAACTTGTGGATGTGTGCCTCAATCAAAATGACTAATTTCATTGTAAAGTGTCTTTGAGGGTCCTGAAAAGAGCTATACTAGTTTGGTGTCATTTCATTTCACCAACTTTTTAAAATAAAATTAATCATTAAGGCAAAAGGCTAGTCTATACCGGCGGTGAGGGAGGGGAGAGAAGAAACGTAGAAGTTCTGTTACTCACTGTAGCAATCAATTGAAACCTCACCGCCTTCGGACCAACCGGGAAAACGATTTTCACTGACAAGTATATATAGCAACAATATTATTGATCATCTATCTAATGGTTTTGTTTTTATTTTCAGACGGTTTTCGCATGTATTTTAAAGTGCCTTAAAGGTATAGCTAAATATCGTACTTTAAAAGGAAACTTGAAATTTCCTGTGGTTAAAACTAAACAATTTTTACGGTCACAAACCTCTTCTCGGGAAGCTTTGCATGCTGGGAAAAATACGTATGTATCCCGGTTGTTTGTCTGAAGAAACTATACGTAAGCTAGTCCGCCATGTTGTGAGTGGCAGGCTCATTCCGAAAAGTGAGGAAATGTTTTTATTTATTTTATTTTTTTTTCTGGCATAAAAGAAGCATCATTTAGAACTACGGGAAAAGATTAGGGCCACCGAAAAAAAAAAAAGAATTCTGATTTTAATCTCAGAATTCAGACTTTAATCTCAGAATTCTGACAGAATTACGTATAGTTTCTTTTTTTCGGTGGCCTTTATCCTCTTCCGTATAGAACTAATGATAATGACGCCAAATATTTATTCTTTTAGGTTTACAAAATATTTTTTCTTAATAGAAATTAATACAACAATAAGGATTTAGTTTGAGATTATCAAACTGTTCTCTCCAATTAGGTATTGCAATCTGGACCCATTTATGTTTTCGGAAGATCAGCTTGTTTCAGACCAAAGCCTCTTCAACTGGTTAACAAAGTCTTCTTAAATCAGCATTTAAATACGAAAATGTAAACAATTAAGTGATTTATCACAGTTTCGTACACTTACTTGGAAAACGTTTTGTCTTAAATTATTTAGAAATTCATTGTCTGATGGAGTGAAA